CCCTCACAATAATCGTATGCATTGATCTCGATGAGTCTTTCTTGTAAAGCTATTGTAGGTAAATGTGGAAATACAAAATTGCATTTGCCGAGAAAGGGAAATTTGGATTTTATGTTTACCAAGCGAAACGAAACTATTGTTGGGAATAAGTACAATCCTAAAGGAGCACATTTTGACAATCGGCAATTTTTGCTCTACCAACGTTTTGCCTATGGTGATCCTACAGAACAATTTTATCGCGCAATGTGGTTATGATTTTCGTTAAGAATCTATACTCCACCGGGTCCCAGAGCGGTCCAAATTCTGGGATGTCAAAGCACCACTTTATCCACTGACATTTCATTTCGGAGAATTCCAAAGATTTAAAATATAGTTGACCGGAAAGATTACGAGCATTCTTGTAGAGCAATTTAATTTTTTTGGAATTTTTGCGTTTGAAAGAAACCGTACAAATTATTCGATAACGGATATGATACGATTGTTCTTGTGCTCTAACCCTACAGTTGTTTAGAATAAGACTTGTTCAAAAAGAACGTTAAAAAGATTACTCGTAGTGAAATGTAGAAAGTGACACGGGAGCTCGAAACGCTGTTTCTAACTCTGTTTTGAAGATCAGCGAAGGATCCTAGGAGCAGTTATGCCAATTTCCATCATAAATTCTTGGATGGCTTCTCGCTAAACTTTCTAAAACATGGATCCAAACAAGTATAAGATCGTTAGTCGGATTAGTGCTGGTTTTGCTTTCGACAGGTATGTTTAAACCTCTTTGGTTCGCCACCGACTACGGTTTCCCTATGGAGCTGTCTTCTTTTTTTTTTCAGCGAATGCATAAGAATTTGAGATACCCTGAACTACAAAGCCGAACCTTAATCAGTGCTTGTTGGTCACCAGAATGTAGCGAGGGAAATCCAGGAACTCTCTTTGCGAATTCCACAGTTTTGTGTATGTCGGGGGTAACTTTGTCTGTGTATACTTCCCAAGCGTGCAACTGATTTGACAGCGTTGGAGTCTCAGTCAAAAGCTGAAAAGTGACATTTTGGTATTACATGTCTGGAAAGCTCACTTTCAAGGAGAACTTACAAAATCTATACGATGCTCAGGTAAGCTCAAAAGCCGTTTTATCGTCATCGCTGAGAACTCGTCATGCGCCTCATAGACCAACCGTATAAGCTGAAAATTTGAACACCATGAACCATTTGAAAAGAGGATGAATTCTGAGGTGTTAGAAAAGACCTTATTAAATTCTGCTTTAGAAGGTTCTGGAGAAGTAGTTGAGGAGACTTCTTGCTTCTCTTCAGGATCCGATGCATCCGCTTCCAAAGGTTCTTTAGGTGGTCGTTTAGACACTCTTCCAAAACGCACTGCTACAATTTGGTGATCAAGTGGGCTACTTTTCACTGAACTTTTTGGAAAAAAGCTTTGGTTTTTCAATTTAAAAAGTGAAGAACTTGGGTTTAGATCAGAGAAAATTTTGACAATTGACAGTGTTTGTGAATCATTTATTGCATAACATTGAGCTTATTAATGAGTAACCTCGTTTTAATTATAGAATGCAGTGCTATGAAAAACACATTGAAAGAGAAGCTTTTCTGCTTTCTTTTACAGCCTGAGTAGACTTCTTAAACTTTTCGCATTTTCAGACAGTTAGTCATACTCTAAGAGCAACAGTCACACTATAAATTTCCTTTTTGGAAAAACGTCTAGAGCTTCCGCAACAGAGAAGTTAGAGCAAGCATTTAAATAAGTAGATAAAAGATCCCTCGAGAATATGTAGTTGGAAAAGTGCTCAATGTTTCATCTTTAGCAACAAAGATCTTGTGAACTTCGAAGTTGCAAGGTTTTAGAAGAAATCGTCAATCTTAGATCACAAACATATTATTCTTTTTATACGCTTCATCCTATGCGCATTTGATTTGCGAACTGGCATGGAGAAGAAAAGAAGCGACTATTATTGCATGCATATTTTCCTCTGTCTGGGTGTATCCAGATAAGAAAAATGCACATAGTGTATATGGAACAAAAATTTTACAGGTTTTAGTATTGTGACATTTTCGTTTAGATTCACTCTTTGTTATTTCGCAGGTTTCGGAAGGAATCTTGATCATGACATGAGTATTGTTTGCGAGTCTTTCTTTTTCATCGCAATA